AGTGGTAAAAACATAGGACACCCTGCCCACTGCACATGTTCATTAACGACAACATCGATATGAGTCTTAATGTGGTTCTGATGGCATGATGTGATCCTAATATAACTGTTCTCTGTGTTGAAACATTAGTGACTAAGGATGCCATCCAAAGCCCATTCAACCCAATGGAAGTCTCTCCCTTGACTATAAAAGACTTGGGATCAGGCCCCAAAATTAAAAAGGTACATTAATGTTGGTCATGTTAACAGTTTGGAGTTGTATCTGTATACTAGTATTCCCCTAAGCACAGGGTCTAGTTAGTGACTATGTTCTGACATGACAAATAGAAGAGGGAAAAAAAACCCTTAAAGTAGTCACCACCTATGTTATAATTTCCCACCTCTATGCAATTAATGTGCTTAATTTGTTTCTGTTCACGTGCAATATTATAATGGCACAACAGATTAAACAAATGTAGTGTAATTCTTGAAGTGTGTTCAGAAGTTGGGTGCTTTCTCCAATATTAAATACCAGTCTTTCATGAGGATGAAAAGTAGTAAGTATTTTTCTAATGCCAGAATTGATTCTTACCAATGGAGTTTGGATAAAAGTGATCAAATCATCTTCAGGTACATTGCTTTTGTAGCTGCTCAGTGGATTGTCTATTTTGCAGAGCTGTCAAAAATCAAATGCATGATAAAAAATTCCTCTTCAATAAAAGAAGAGAATTTTTACTACCCTTTAAGACAGGTCTCTCTCCTTTTAAAATATGGCATGTGCATCTTACTGTCTTTGTCATTTCACTCCCAGTATGCCCTCTGCATACAAGTTTTTAGGTACAGATGCTTAACTCTCAACATTAATAGTAAAAATGGAGTCATATAATTAATCCAAACACTATACTATGTGTGAGTTAAAGTAGCTGTACATATAACACAGATTACTTAGATAGGCCCTTTGTTGCACCTGTACAGTGTCTAGCACAATAGGGTTCAGACTTTCTAGGCACTGTTGCAATTTAAAAATAATTACCAACCTGACAATCTCAAAGCAATAAAATGAGATGACTTAACTTTTAAGAGTCCATAACTTCCATTGCTCCACGCAGACACACACACCTGGGGTATAGATTTGGCTCCACAAGTCAATGGCAAAACCCCCATTGGACTTCAGTAGTCATGATAGCTCCCTAATCATTATCTTGTAGTGCAATAGTAGTTACACAATACACCATAGCCTTAATTGCATACTAGCATGGATACCATTAATCCAACTTCTTCTTTCCCAAACTCCCCCACTACCAAACAGACCAGACTTAACCCTACTTGTACCCGCTACACAGTTCTGGAAAACCACACAAGTTTGTGCAAGAGGATGCTTGAAAGCTGGTATTCCTATTGGGGTGGAACTAATGTCATGGTGCATTGTCAATATAGTATCATGGCTGTGCTAGCGGTCCACAGTGTCTTGGGATGAAGGAGTAAAGGGTGTGTTCTGTTAGACGGCTTAAACTTTCCACAACCTTGCTTTTGAGGTTGTATCAGATATGTTGCATACAACACCCTTTAAAAACCCCACATACTAGTTTTGAATTTTCCAGCTGCTTACTTCTAGGAAGGTTTCAGAGTAACAGCCGTGTTAGTCTGTATTCACACAAAGAAAAGGAGTACTTGTGCCCCCCCAGACGTTCTTGTTAAACTCTGGATTTGTGCTGGAAATGGCCCACCTTGATTATCATACACATTGTAAGGAGAGTGGTCACTTTAGATAAGCTATTACCAGCAGGAGAGTGGGGTGGGGGGAGGTATTTTTTCATGCTTTGTGTGTATAAAAAGATCTTCTACACTTTCCACAGTATGCATCCGATAAAGTGAGCTGTAGCTCATGAAAACTCATGCTCAAATAAATTGGTTAGTCTCTAAGGTGCCACAAGTCCTCCTTTTCTTTTTACTTCTAGAAAGCAACTCCAGCACAGCAGTGGCTCTTTTCACAAAGAGCAGAACCTTAGTGACAGGGTTTGGCTCCTGATCTGACTGGGAACTTATTGTGATCCTGTTTGTGAAAGGATTCACCTCTACTGGTGAAATTAAAACAATTACAGTGCTAGATGATGAATTAAATGCTCCTCTCCTTTTTTTCCAAGACTTTCTTCACAACCATGATGTCAAAACAGAATTAAAAATTTGATATTTGACTATTCAGTGACCTTTTTTGATGAATATCACAGTGAGACAATAGCTATGAATAATAAGTTTATTATGTAGGCTATTCTTTAGGTGATGCTAAAATCTATAAGTGAGTCAATTTTCAAATCTCAGAAGGGATATCAATGAGAGAGAGGCCTGAAAAAACCCCTAAAGATCTTATTTTTAATTAATTAAAACTCAAATTAACTAAGAGATTTATCTACAAAGCCTTTAAAAATGTCAGCGCCTCTTTATTCACAGATTGAACTGTACATTTGGGGAAGAAGAGAAACTGTATCCTTCATACAAAACAAAAAGGCTGAAACCCCATTTAAAGTGGAAAAACTGAACCCAACATAACTCAGTCAGACCTTTCAGCAGCACAAATATATTTCAAATGAACAAACATCTCGGGATGAATTAACCATGCACAGAAGGCAGACACCCCATTTCTCCCTAGGAAACTCACCTTCCAGGGCAGGGTGAACCACTTTCAATTCTCAATTAAATCAATAGGCACTGAGGGCACTCCACATCTTTGAGGAGGTGCCACATACAACTGTAGGGCCTGATCCCTAGTAGGGTATCTTCTCCCACTTCTGTAATGCACTCATCTTGGCAGTGCAAGGACCTTCCCACTTACCAACCTGTGTAGCTTTCTTCTCCTCACCTAAATGTTTATTTATTGAGTTCTTTTTTCCATCGTACATCATTTCATCATATAAGTCTGCGGTGCCTCTCTAAATCCTTGTCTACATGAGAGGTTTTTTGACACTTCCCTGCCCCCTATTTTCAAGCAGATAATAACTAAGCTAAAAGAGTGCCTCCACTTTGCTCTGCCTAAAGCAGCTGAAGCGTCTTTCCTTGTGAATCACACTGTCCACATAGTACTATGTGTTTTCAAAATAACACGCACACAGCATTCAGGGCTGCTCCCCGAGGATGCACTGTTCTACTGCTGGTCTCAATGCATTACAAGTTGTTTATCATGGTAGATTGTGGGATACCTTCCAGAGCCTATTGGAATTTTGGGTCTTGGGGGTCAAACTCCTTTGATTCCTTCCACGGTATCTCGTCACTAGTTCGGCGTTCCCTGGTCAGTGCCAGTTTCCAACTTAGTTTCAAACAAAAACTTTCAAACTACCCTTTGGTACAATGCAGGGAGCACTACTGACCACTATGGCCCTAACCATCATTAATACAGGGGGTTGCATATGTACTGGCAATCACACAGGCAGGTGTGGGTTGACAAACCCAGGCTGACAAGCAGGACGCAAAAGGTCACCTTCCACTTTCCTTCACATTTGTACAGTCTGTGATGGGGTTCAACTCACCAGTGTGGCTCCTCCTGCTGGTTGTCCTGGGGATTAGCTCTGTAAGCCAGTGCACCCTCCTCTGGTGGCATCTTGCCACCATCACTTCTGCTGCAGGGACCCATGTCACTCTCAGGACCGCAGTGTCCTCTTCATGACACAGCCTTTGGCCATGCTGCACACTGTGCTCCCACCTTCCTGGTGACATCATTGCAGTCCCTCAGTACAACCTCAGTGGTGAGCGGGGAGAGGGGGAGGGAGACCTGGGCCCGCCCACTACTCTGGGTCCTGGCCCAGGGACCCTGAAGATGCCCGCCACTGACTGCATCCCCTCTGAAGTTCTTCCTGGGCCACTTGCCCGTGGCCCCAGCACCCTCTTAACCCTAGCCTCAGGGCCTCAGATAACAACACTGTTATGCCCTGGGTGCTTGCTGCCCTCCGCCTGCAAGGCAGCCAGTCATCCTCCCTCTTCAAGCTCCAGGGAGTGCCTCAAGCTGGTCTGTACTGCAGCTCTTCCTATATGGGCCTGCCTGGCCCTGATTGGCTCCTCCTATAAACCCTTTTGCGAATGGCTGCCTTCTGCACAGCCTCCTTAGGGCTTCATTAACCCTTGGGATCCCAGTGTGGGACTGGCGCCTCATCACACAGTCCTTTTGGTGTTTACCATCCATACACCATACAAGAATATTAATGATCAGTGGTGTTACTTCATTTTCCAATGGTATCTTACACAACACCTGTTAGATACATATTATAATATAATTGCAGGACATCGAACTGGTCAGGCCAGCTGAAACTCACTACTTGATACCAGTGAGTTCCTTGCCTTCTGGCACTGGGATGCTCTTAGGGTCCTACTTACCAATTATTTGTCCCCTCCACCAGACCTTGGAGTTCACCAACAGAAAGAGGTACTTCTCCATGATCATACAAGGCCTGCCTCATCATCATGACAAATTCACGGTGAAATGGTCTGGAAAGGTCAATGATACCACAATCTGTGGAAACTCATCCCTGTTTTATGCAATTAAATTTGGAGATGGACATTTTTGTAATTCTGAAGCAGCTCCTTGCTTTGGTTCTGGGACTACCCCCCTCCCCCATTCTCCTGCAATGGCTCTTCTAGCAGCTTGTAGACTTTGGTATTCTGATGACTACTGGACCGACAAGACTGCACTGGCTCCTCTCCCCAAAGGGCAAGGAATTTTAATTAAAGCCAAGTGTTGTTATCTAAAGGTGGCTTATAGAAAGTTTACAGAAAAAACCTACCTATCGTAATTTCTGTGATAGGGAATTTCAGGTATTCTATTTTCCACTCTGCCATGTCATGGTGAGATCATCTGTCTCCTTTCTTCAAAGTCTGTGTCAGAATATTTAGCTAGATATATGATAATGGACTGCATTTTTTTCAGCTTTGGTAAATCCCGACAATATTTTGGACCAGTTTTAAATTCGGCCCTTGATTTTCAAACATTTACCTTTGCTATCTTTTTGCTTTATGTAACTTGTGCTTTTCTTTCCCCTTCAGTTGATCGGTCTCTCTCTCTCTCTCTCCTCCGCCCCGCGCCGAGAAGGAGCAAAACCTTGGGGTTTGCAGAATTTATATTTGTAAGTATAAGCTTTCTGCCAAGACGCATGAGATACTTAGTAATTACTAGGTTTGTGTGAAATCTGTTTTTGATAGTGCTTACTGCTCAGCAGCTGATCCGTGTGCATGGCTGAAGTACGTATGTGAGCACCTTGTCTGAGCTAAAAATAGCTGTCATTATCCAGTAAGTGCTGACTTCTCATCACACACTAAACATGGGTCTGAATCTGAGCTGCTCTGATAACTTATGAGCACGGTCAGCTAGATCTCATTGATTTTTGGTTTCTGGACTGAATACACAGCAGTTTTCCTATAAACATCCCAATATGATTGATTCAGGCAACATTTTTCTCCAAATCGCTAAGTGCTAATTCAATTTGATGGGCACGGCAGGGAATGGAATGTACCACAGGGAATTTTCTTTCAACAACATACAAAGTGCAGCCTTTTCATCCAGTCATGTTACTGTTGCAGATCTAATGGGTTTTTATATAAACCCTCTCTTGGTTGCCTTTCTGTATGACAGCATGTTAGAGCAACATTATACTTGTCCTGTTGCTTCTTTTGAAGTTTCCTGAAAAGTCAGGGAAACAGTATCAATACATTTGACTTTTGTTTTTTGCACAACGCTACAGCCCAAGTGATGAGTTACCAAGACAGATGCTCTTTCCTCAAGCACAACACAGAAGTGATGTGCTGAAGGGGTCTTAGGGAATGGTTCCCATGAGCTCTTGTTAAAATTAATTTAACTAGCGTTTATTGTTAAAGACAGACAGTGTGCCTGGCAGTGTATAAGACTGCAAAAAGCTTGCTGTGCTCTTTAAGACAGCACATAAAGACAGGTTTCAGAGTAACAGCCGTGTTAGTCTGTATTTGCAAAAAGAAAAGGAGTACTTGTGGCACCTTAGAGACTAACCAATTTATTTGAGCATAAGCTTTCATGAGCTACAGCTCACTTCATCGGATGCATGCAGTGGAAAATACAGTGGGGAGATTTTATATACACAGAGAACATGAAACAATGGGTGTTACCATACAGACTGTAACAAGAGTGATCAGGTAAGGTGAGCTATTACCAGCAGGAGAGCGGGGGGGATGGACGGACGGGACGACCTTTTGTAGTGATAATCAAGGTGGGCCATTTCCAGTAGTTGACAAGAACCTTGCACAATGACTTAGCCACTCCCAGTCTCTATTCAAGCCTAAGTTAATTGTATCCAATTTGCAAATGAATTCCAATTCAACAGTTTCTCGCTGGAGTCTGGATTTGAAGTTTTTTTGTTGTAATATAGCAACTTTCATGTCTGTAATCGCGTGACCAGAGAGATTGAAGTGTTCTCCGACTGGTTTATGAATGTTATAATTCTTGACATCTGATTTGTGTCCATTTATTCTTTTACGTAGAGACTGTCCAGTGTGACCAATGTACATGGCAGAGGGGCATTCCTGGCACATGATGGCATATATCACATTGGTGGATGTGCAGGTGAACGAGCCTCTGCTCACGCGATTACAGACATGAAAGTTGCTTATAATCCACAGATTATCAGGGATTTAAGGAGCTTCTAGTAATCAGGATTTGAGCTATTTTGGATGTTAACTACATGATAAAATTATGTGTCAATATATTTTTACAGTGAAGAGTTTATGTTTTTCCAACCATGCCTAACTGAACCACAGATTTTTCTCATACCTTTAAAGTAGTTCACCAGCCAAGAAAGGACATGGAAAAAAATCAGTGAAAAATGTTTTGGGAAGTTATAAGCTAGTGATTACAGCGTGTTTGTAAATAAGTTGTTTGCAGTCTAAAAGAAACACTCTTTTATAAACCAAATTCATAACCAGTGTACACTTTGTGCAATTCTGCTGAAGATCACACGGTTGTTTGTCAAAGATGACTCAGTCACCCCTATAATTACTGGGGTTTGAATTTCATCTAGGCTGTTTCAGACTCCTACATTGCTTAACTGTACTTTCAAAATTCTTTTAGTGTTGTAAAAGGACATGTGCCATCCCTTGCAGCCCTGTATGGCAGGTGGATGTGCCCCTGCCTTACCTTCCCCAATTGTACATAAATAAGATCACTTTAACAGATCAGGGCAAAGAGAAGCCAAAATTGAAGTAGCTTGTCCCTTTTAATAAGATCTATGGGAACAAGCACTTACAACAAACAGTTTGTAAGGTCCTCACCCTTGGACCCTGGTTCAGAGCTCCCAAATGTGAAGTCCCCAAACCAAGTCTTTGAAGCTAGTCTTCTGGAGCAGGAAAGAGAGAGACCCATCTCTTGTCCCCTCTCCTAGGCCTCTGTGGTTTTCCAGGCTTTTCATTTTTCCATACCTGCTCCCTCTTGAGATCTCTGATCCTTAGTGACAGCCCGGCTGTATAAACACCACCTACCTCCTTTCCTCTGCACCTGGATAACGCATTGGGCTGGCTGGTCCCAGCCCTCTGACCCTTAAAGGGGCAGACCAACCTGTCACAAACGTTTTCAATTGATACTGAAAATTGTAGGTTAACAAGAGAGAATGCATCATAAAGGGGAGAATTGGAAAGTAGGACTTGGGAGTTTCATTCACAGCCATTGCAAGACAATGGACAAGTCACTTAGGCCGCAACTGAGCAAAGCACTTAAGCAGATGCTTAATTTTGAGCACTTTTGGATGATACCCTGAATTATGGTCCAGTGCTGTAAGTGACCACAATTGCCATTGACTGTGCAAGCCAAATGCTTTGAGCAGAGTTGTAACTTTTAACCCTTACTTAGTAACCATTTGGGAATTTGATAGTATACCATTTCCCACCTCACAAAGGTAGTGTGAGGTTTGTTTGACTTAAGGATCCATACAACTGCAAAGAATTATTATTATTGGAGTTGGGTGAATCCTGAAAATGTTGGTGAAGGTTAGTTTGAATTTTTCAACAAGTTTGATTCACCCGTGTTGGAGCCTCTTGGTATTCAATTTCTGCTAACCAGCTCCAAGGCTCACTGACAATTAATTCTCAATTCTAATGTTCAGCTACAGAAATTGAATTCTGAATCTTGATGGTAAGGGTTAACTCATCTGATTAGGGAAAAGAAACCAGTAACATGCAGCTCTTGTGACCAATAATTAAGCAACACAGTTGTAACAGCAAGACACCACTGGAATTTATCTAAAACTTCATTATGTAGTTTTTAAAAATGGAGAAATAAAGAGGTCTGATACATCGAGGGCTCAACTTAATTAATTCTGAGCCCATATTAACAGTCAGTACATAGCTACACTGCTCCACAAGCAGATCAGGGAGGGAACTGCGACTGGCACAACTAGCTCCCTGGATCACTCGTTGCTCTGGGTGGATGTAGGGCATCTGCCTCTAGTAGTAGATGACTACTCCTGCTGTTTTGGTTCAGTTACACACAGTGGTCAGAGGGAACAGAGTCAAGGCTACGTGCGTTTACATGTCAATCTTCCTGTGAGGGAGAGTAAGAGCCCCACAGAGGCTGCTCTCCCTGCACCCTGTGACCTGGAATTCAGGTGGCCCACCCACAGAAGAAAGATGGTGCCTTGCTTTCCAGCATGGGCAGTAGGGTAACCCATTATATTGTCTTAACTATTTTAATGATGAATTACTTGCTTTGCTCAAATCATCGCCATCAGAAGAGGGCCTTGCTCAGAGTTCAAATCCAAATCTGAACTTCAAAGTTGGGAGTGGCAGCTGGATCTGTTTTGACTCAGATGAATTTCTAGTTATTTAAATTCAGATAAAAGCTAAAGATATTCATTCTAACTACCTATTTTTCTAGCACAATTTCTAATTAGAAATTGTCCCCGGTAAAGGTAAGAGTCTAAGCTGAAATGTGGTTAATGGGGAGGGTAAAGATTTATTGCGCCTCTAGAAAAAAAAGAAATTCCAAGAACAAACTCAATGTCACTACTGGAATTTTCAATCTAGTCAAAAGCAAAGTAGCCAGCAGCATTACAATTGATACTTGTTTTTTAAATGTAGTTGAGCATGGTTTGCTACTGTCACAATATTCCAGGTTCAAGAAATGATATAGGGTAAAATGGGTAAAGTGTCAGGGGAAAGTTTTATTATGAACCCCATAAAGCCTCAGTCTGTATAGTTTTGTTTAGAGTATGTAAATACTGCCAAACAGTACATGAGACTGAGTTGCATTGCTTTGATACAAGTTCTACACATTACTTCCCCCTGGTAGTTGCATCTATTTTCCTCCCCCAACTCCCAATAGAGCTCCTGAAAAAGTAAGGGGGAACTCATAAGCATTTAAATTGATACATATTAGAGCTTATTGCTGGGAGAATATAATCAATCAATGTCTGATATGTCATAACTGAATTTGCTTTGGTGGTTCGTGCTCCCCTTTGTGATCATCATGAATAGTTTAATGTGCAGGTTTACTGGCAGAGAATTCTTCTTCTCTATTTAAGTAGAGGCTCCAAAACCGTATCTGACCCATCTGCATGCCCAGTGGTATCTATTAATTGTCAGTTGATAACAGCTATTACAGATGAAAAAGACTGCTATGTTTGGGAGGATGGATGGCCTTGTGGCTAAGACACAGGACTGAGGTTCCTGGATTAGATTCCCAGCCTTTCCTGTGGGACCTTGGGCAAATCATGTAAACTTCCTGTGCCTCAGCTCCCCAGCTGTACAATGGGAATAATAATTAGTCCCTTTCTCCCGCATGTTGCCTGCCTTGTGTTAGTCTGCAAGCTCTCTGGGCAGGCACTGTCTCTTGGTAGGCGTACGTTCAGTGTTTAGCACAAGAGGGCATCTATGTGCTACAATATGACAAGTAACATAATGAGGTCATTCTGAGTGACAGCAAGTAGAAAACCCCTTAATTTCAGAAACGGTGTCACAGCATGGACCAAGAATACCTGTTAGTGTGATGTCTTATTTTTGTAATAGCATTTTTTGTGGTATAAAAATGGCCCCATTGCATCCCGCCCCAAGTATAATACTTGAATACCTGTACAAGTTGGCTCAATATCAGAAGCTACCACAAATTCACAAATATCCCTTTGCTCTCATCCTGTTAGGCAAAAGTGTGGCAGTCCATACCCTTATGTTCATCTTTTTTTTTTTACAAGACCATGATAAATTTTGTACAAAGTATGCCTTGTAAGGTATCATTTGAAAACTCAGTCTGGTGAACATTATTGTCCTGGTAAAATATGTGTGGGAACATTGTATGTGACGTTAAGATCTATTCCAAGTCCAGGGAAACAGCTTCAAACCTGTTCCCCAGAAACAAAAGAGTAGCCAGCACCTCAGCCAGGTGTCAACATAATCAAATAGACTATCACCTGATTAAAGGGTCATTCTTTGGCAGGAAGAAGTGTCTGAGTGAGGAATGTACATCTTGGGAAATGGACTTGCTGTCTCTGAACATCAGCTGGAGAGGATTCTCAAATAAGAGAATTGCTAAAAGAAAGTGTAACAGAGGACCCCAAACTTCTTTCTCTCTCTGCCCATGACATCCACAATGCCTGAAGGAAAAGGAAAGGAGCATTGAACTGCAGGATGAGTCCTGGCTGGAAAGCATCCAGCTAATAAGACTGCAAGAGAACATGTGGTGAGAGAGACACTTTGCTTTGAATTCACTTAGCCTGTTCAGTTAGATATTAGTTCATTTTTTACCTTTTATTTTCTTGTAACCAAATTCTGACTTTTATGCCTCATTACTTGTAATCACTTGAAGTCTTTCTCTGTAGTTAATACACTTGTTTTATTGTTTTACCTAAGACAGTGTGTTTGGAGTGAAGTGTTTGGGAACCTCCATTTGAGAGAACAGGGTTTGTGCATATCATTTTCTATTCATGAAATTACAGACTTTCTATGGGTTTGTATTGTCCAGGAGAGTTCCAGGCAGTACAAGATGCACATTTCTTCGGACAAGTCTGGGACTGGAAATTTTCTGTTGTCACTCAGCAATTCAATTCAGGAGTGGCTAGCTAAGAGCACTCATATAACAGTAAGTTACATGCTAGACACTGTGTGTGACAAAGGCCAGGAGTGGTTGCACTCACAGCGAAGCAGTGTAAAAGGCCCCCAGTTTGGAGAACTGAGGGGACACATCTGTCCAACAGTCCAGATTGCATCCTGGGTAATGTCACCAAAAAACAGAGATTAGCTGGACTGTATTGTGGCATCAACAGGAAACTACCAACAGATAACAACTAGGTACAGGGCCAGTAGGGCCTTATTTCATGGAAAGTAGGGATTTACTTGGGCAGTGTAAATACATGTCCCTATTACTGTTTCCTTTGTCCACATACCCAGAGGCCTTCTGATTGTTTTATATCACTTGTGGCAAGCTCTTTGGGCACAGGAACTCTCTCTTACTGTGGCTAGCACAGCAGGAACGTGATGAGGGGCCTGAATGTACCAGAATGAACAACAGAAACAATGAACTTGGGCTCTGGACAAAACAGGGAAAGCTAGTTTTCAGAGTTGAGGACATATGCTGAGAATGATGCACCATGTGCACCCAGATGTTCAAACCTAGGGCATGTTAACTTTAATGATTTTAGCAAGGAGAGAAAGGCCATTTGAGGGGGTATGGTCAAACTATATAAAGGCTTTCAAGAGCAATACCAAGTTTTTTAATTGCACTTACAAGTGAACAGGTAGTCTTTAGTGCAATAGTCTAACATATTTCCTGCACAACACAAAGCAAACAAGCTGGCATATCTAGGCACCAGCAGTCACTTTTGAGTGGTCAATGGTAACCAAATTCAGAATGTGTTGTGTGGATACCTCATCTGGAGATGCCTAAGGCAGGGACAACAGAAACAAGGTCCACATCCACTGATTTAGCCAAAGATGAAGGCAGAGATGGCACAGGGCAGCCAAATCTCTTAGATAGGTATGAAAATCTCAGCCAAAATCCATTCTAAACACGTCCATTCGCAGGACTCTCTTTGCTTTATTCCAAAGCGGGTAAGTATGGTGATAAAACTAAGACTGGTTACTACCAGAGAGAGCTTTATTTTGTTACCACATTTTTAATGCTGCACAGATGACGTTAAACTGAAAAATACAAACATTTCCTGATGCAATGAGGCTTCCATGCCTGATTCACCAACTTTTTTTAAACACTTTTGAGAATTCCTTAATCCATCTGAGTTTTCAGCTCAAGCTTTTAAGGTTCAGAATGACAGCTGAGACAATCTCTGTTCTAATAAATCCAGTAACACTTTCAATGAAACATCTACAATATGGATCCAATTTACCATTAATACAAAGTCCATATTTTAAATAATCAATTTTTAAAACATACCTATTAAGTATGGCCTCTTATGAGATAGGCATTTTATACAATTAGTCAAAATGTTATATAAACACATCTGAGTCAATTAAAAACGACTGTCAAATCTTATTCCACACTTAGAATTCCTACTGATATCCACACGAGTTTGACACATAAGGGAAGGGAAAATATAGATCTCAATTTGTCAGTTATCCATTATAGTTTATTCTTACCATAATTAAAAAATACTTATTGGAGTCGTTTAAATTTAAAAACTGTTACCGCAGACCCAAATCTGAAAGAAATGAAGTTGAAATAAATCTGATGTTAAATTCTCAGTAGGAACTCTTACAGATCTTTGTTTATTTTCAATAAGAAACTAGCTGTTATGGGACTAACGTTTAATAAAACAGTATGTTCTGCCATAGTTATGGGAATATGTATAATATGCTCCTGTTAGACTCATCTTTGATGGGTCTTCTGATATTTTGCTAATTACAGTGAACAAGCATAATTTCCTGTAAAACAGATGCAGTCATCCGGCAGATGTACATTAAATGTTACAGCTACCATATCTTTTACACAGAAGGAAATGTATTCGCAACACTGACCTGACCTAGGGCCCAAGCCTGCAAGCATGGATACAGCATTGACTCCATAATGTCCCAGGTTCCTGGGATGATTACTGTGTGCTTTATCCTCAACTGTCCTATTAAAAATCCATAAACATTCCTAAAAGAGTTTGGTAATGTCTGATGTTTTCCTTTAATTGCTATCATAAAGCAAGCAGCTAACTGTATAAAGAACAGGCCACCATGAAAATGGCCTCTCTGGTGTCTTAAACGTACAACCACCTCCTCTGCAAATACTTGCAGGGTCACAGCATCAGCTGCATTTTACCCAGCTTTTCTCTTTTACCTTTTAATTCCGTTGGAAAGAGCAGATAGTGCCTGCACTACACATCATGGGACCATAAGTATTAAAACTGACTAGTTCTAGAGTTTTTTGCTAGTACTGTATGTAATCTATACAAGAGTCAGGGGACCGGGAAAATGCATATACAGAAATGGTGTAGCACTATACTTACAAAACAGCTCATTGTAAATATAAAGGGACAATGTCAAGGTTGGTGGACCTAAATATTATGCATTTGTATTTCCAACTGATGCTTCTAGCATGGAAAACAAAGCCTTGCTCTGTGCCTTCCTGTGAGACTGGCAATATAAACAAGCCATTGAACTTAACATGCTCTGATTAGAGCTGTGTGAGATGTTTGTAACAAAACCTGAAACCACATAGAATTTACCTCATGTTCCCAGGGAAGCCCACGGACCTCCTTATCCTACCTTCTGATCAAAATCAAGAGCGCTAGGTTGACAGCAATTGTGTATTTGAACCGTTACTGCTACACAGTCACATTTGTTCTTGTCAATTTCAGATCCTCAGCTGCAGTTGTCTATTTTGAAAGAAGGGGAGAGACTTGCAAATTCATTTTCTTGCACCATATTTTCATTTGTCAAATCCATGGACTTGCTTTTCAGTGAGTTATTTCAGTGTTTTAAGAAATGGCAAAAAATTATTAATAAAATCGACTTATTTCAATATCAGTTCAGTTTTTACTTAGCAATCATGCATTCCAACATATAGCCCAAGTTTCCATGATGGAAAAGAATGGAGCAATATATTTAAGAACTTCAGTTTACCATATTATGATCCAAAGACCTCTTGATGCCAACTGTCAGAAGGCATAGAGGTACCTGAGGGTTTGGGAATCCCCTGCGTTCACCAAAAGAATGTCATGTAAGGTCTCTACTGAAAGCTTGTGTCACACTGTTCATCATAGCCATTATAAGGTGCATGTGTGGAACATATGAGAGGTGTTTTTATATATATATGCTGAAAAAATTGTTCTCTAAGTCCACAGTTAAAGGCATGTCATCACTCAAGCTTCTCCAGACAGGAGGTGGGAGATGTTTCTCTCTCTGGCAGACCTCTGTGTGTCTTACAATAGAAGTCTATTAGCATACTGAGTCAAATGCTAATGAAGAGTTTAGGAAGACTTCAGAAGGAAATTAACAAGAAGGGGTAAACAGCAGGGGTACCCTGTTTTCAAATGAAGATTAAAAGGTCTGGTCTCAGATATGTCAGGGCGCAGAGAGACGCTCTGGTATCTGTCTATCTATGAAGACAAGCTGCCAGCGAACTTGATCTCATGAAAAGACAGATCTCGGCCATCTTAGTTGAAAATACTGGGAAAAAGACTTGGGGGAAGCTATCCTAAGAGATAGGGGAAGGTCTTACGACTTAAATTTAGGCTCTAGCAAGCAAGTTATCATTTTGTTTTATAAGTAACCATGTGTTTCCAATATTCTTATTTTCTATCATTTGAATCTTTGTTCTTTGATACACTTATTCTCAGTGCTGCATGTTAAGTGGAGTGGTCATTCTGACGTCTGGTAATCCGGTGTGTACTCTTCCTTTGGGAGCAGCAAATCTGAGTTCTGTGAGTGTTCAGTTGAACAGGGGCTGGGCACTCCAAGAGGAGTCTTGGAGGGTATTTTTATTATTATTTTTATTTTATGTCTTAACCTCAGGAGCGGGGGGAGCCCCCGGGGCCGGGGTGGTGTTTTTTATTCTTTCGAAGTGTGGAGGGGGGAACAAACACCACAAAAACAAAAAACAAACGCCAGGGGAAGGGGAGGGGGGGGGAAGGGGCCCCCCCACCCTTATTCCTTCTGGGCCCCCACCAGCAACATAAAAATTTTATTTTTTTTTTTTTTTTTTTTTTTTATTACATCAAATAATAATTAAATTTTATTTTTATTAAGAAGAAGACAGAAAAAACAAAAAAAAAAAAATTAATTTATAATAAAAAAGTAGTGGGGTGTTTGATATACTATTTAATAAAAAGAAACAAAACAAAAAAATTGAATTAATAAAGTTATTAAAAAAGTAATGAAGAGAGGAGGAACAAACAAAAAAGGAAAGAGGGGAATTTCAACCCCAACGAAAGAACAAGGGGGGGGTTTGAAACCACCATTCCACTTTTCTAATTTTTGTGGAGGAAAACCCCCAAAACCAAAAAAGACCGAGGCCGCGAAAACCCCAAAAATTGAGGCCCCCCCCCCCCCCCCCCTAGCGCCCCCCCCAGCCCTGGCCCCCCCACCAACAAAATTGCTTGCGCCCCACCCCCCTCTCCCCCCCGGCCTGACTCAAAAAACCCAGCCTCGTGGTGCAAAGAAGACCCCCCTGGGGGGCCCCCCCTCGGGGTTCTTCCTTAGCCACATCTGGAGCTTTCACAGCAGTAAAAAATGGTTGTAGCACAGGGGAGAAAATCCTTCCCATAACATTTTAGCATTAAAGGGATGAAACTGCAAAACAAGGGAGTAAGCAAGCTTGACTTCTCTTCCCTTACCACTTTCTTGGTAAAAGGGGGGGTGCTGGCTGAGCCACCCTCCCTCCCTTGGTTTGGTATGTGTGTTTTTTA